TTCCAACAGACTTTTTGTGGATGTGCTTTGAAACTGCACTCTGTGAACAGCTTGCTCTTTGAGAAATTTCTTTTTGTGTCTTACCCTCCTGATGGAGGGTGTCAATGACGGTCCTCTGGACAGCAGTCAGATCAGCAGTCTTCCCCATACTTGTGATTTAGTTTACTGAACCAAGCTGAGTGTTTTTCAAGGCTCAGGAAACCCTTGCAGGTGTTTCGAGTTAATTAGACGATTCAAGTGATTCGTTGAACACCCTACTAGTATACTTTTTCATGATATTCTAATATTTAGAGATAGGATATTTGAGTTTTCTTAAGCTGTATGCCATAATCAGCAATATTAAAATAATAAAAGGCTTGCAATATTTCAGTTGATTTGTAATGAATCCAGAATGTATGACATTTTTGTTTTTTTAATTGCATTACAGAAAATAAAGAACTTTATCACAATATTCTAATTTTCTGAGACAGTCCTGTATACACAATCAACAGACACATTTATACATATGCACACATTAAGATAAAAGCACAACAATCAATATATACAAAATAACAGTCACTTCAATATCTTTGGGAATGTACATTAGTGCAAGATTGACATCATTTCACCTAACTTGCAATTTTGTCACACAAATACAAAACTGTTGGTTGTTTTTTCACCCCAACAGTATCTGAAAAGAACTTCCTGGAGTCTGAAACAGGCCTGAAGATTAAACAGACCGGTGTAGGAGAGGTATGTGATACACACAAACACACATAAACTTAAAGGGACATGTCCTCAGTAACCCCTGCTTTCAGTAACACATGAAGCAGTTGTCAAGGCAACAGAGATATAATCACTTCTCTGCTATCCATACCATCTCATTTAAATCTAATAATTGATGGACCCTATCTTGGCAGATGATCAGACTTGCCAGTGTCAGTTTAGACTCCCGACAGACCACCAGCTAATGGATCTTTTGTAGCTGCGGACGGCTTGATTCGGTCTCCCAGATATGTTAAGTCATTTGCATCAGGTCATGTTGCTGGTTGCCTACTATAAAATGGCTGCTTGTAACATGGTTTAGAAACACAATTGGGTGAGTTAGTGTTGAGAACACCCAGTAGAAATCGGACACAACGCTGAAGGATATGGTGTATTTTCAAATGAGTAAATATGTATTACCTTTCGGTGAGAACATTTTGATTAGTTCAATAATAATGTATTTCCCTTACGCTATTAAACTGCTTTGGTAAAGATTTGGAAAGGTCACTTGTCATCCCGAAAAAAAGGTTATACAACAACTGCTACATCAGGATTAGCTTAATCATCAAAACCATTATTATTTCAAATTACTTTACTACCACAAGCAGTGCACTGTTTTATTCTGCAGCACACTCAGTACATTCAGTTTTCCATCCACTATCACATTGTGCTGTAATATTGTGTGTGGGTGTTTGTCTGCGAGTGTATGCCCCTCTGAGTGTGGGCCACCTGGAGGGCAAGTGGCCAGAACAAATCAGCAAGTCTGCACCTCATAACCATCACTGCATTGTTGCCATGGTGCTTCACTTCCTAATCCAACCCCCTACTGTGACTCCCGGATCCCAGGTGCTATGGCAACAGTCAATGGTGTCATCAACCTCATTACTCACAGAAATAGATTGATTTCGGATCTCTGAATCATTGCCTTCATCTCTTACTTTGTTGGATTGATAAGAAAATGCCATTTTAGCATAACTACCAACTTAAAAAACAATTTAATTCTAGGCTGATGAGATATTGCGATTGTCCTGCATAGCATTAATGGTATATGCTGACTATACGTGTTAACTCATACATTATTTTAATTAAAATGAAAGCATGATATGTATACTGATTTAAGTATTAGACTCACACTCATCAACAGTGAGTGAAGAAAGAGCGGGGGTGATTTTTTTTCAGCAGACGTTTTATTTTGCTTTGAATTCTGCTGTGGCGGCATGATGAAAACCGTTTTGAAAGATAAAAGAGGAGATGAAGAAGAGGGGGAATGACACACTGCTGTCTGTTTAACGACTCCCTAGTTCATATTACCTTGACTTCTCAGAGCTCTGTCTCTAAATGTCAACATCAAGCTCACCGAGCACACCTTGCTGTCATATACAGTTACATAAAAACAAATGGTTAATATGAAATGAGTGACCTTTAGTTCCAGTGGCAGGGGCAGAATCCCAGAGGTAGCTTATCTGAGATCGACTACTCATAAAAGGCAAATGTGTGTGTCAACAAAACGAGATAGCACTTTGGTGAATGTGTTTTCGAAGCTGGCTATAGCTCAGACAATGCTCTTTATGATGTGTTTTTCCTAGAGGATAGATGCACGGGGTCTCCCTCAGGTAACCAAGGTTTCACAGGGCTCCAGCGGCACAGTCATCACCCTTGTTTCCATGGCAGTCGTCGGAGGCGTGCTGGTATTGGCTATGGCTGTAGCTTGTTTCAGGCACCACGCTCAACAAGTGGCCAATGGCAAGCTTGGACTGGGGCCAGAGGGAGGAGCAGAAACACACTTTGACTACCAGGTAAGAACATCTTACTGTGGGAAAGGCCTTTTTATATCGTTTGTTCCAGCATTTCATGGAAAAATGGAAGAAAACATATAATGTATGGTCAAAAGGACGGTTATTGAAAGCATTTAGGCTACATTGAAAAACATGTCTCCAAGATCAGGCAATTATTTGATAACTGGACTTAAACTCCCACTGTACATCTTACATTTATATTCAATTTAATATTGAATAATCAATTTCTTGCACAATAATATCCTGCATTATATTTGTTACTGGAAATGTTTATTCCCAAATGTATATTTTCCACATACACCTATATATATATTTTTTTTTTTTACTTTTTAATGCTATTTTATTTCTATTTATCTATCTATCTAATTAAAAACAAATAGTTGCTACCCTGGTATGAATTAACAACCTTTTTTGTTTTTTACTGTTCTACCACTTCCTCTCCCTACCTTCCTCCCAGGAGCTATGTCGGCAGCACATGGCGTCCAAATCCTCCCTGTCCCGCCAGGAATGTATGGCCGGAGTGAGTGGCGGCCTGGCGGGCTCTGCCATTGGCACAGGTGCGGGGGGGCGGAGGGGTACGGACACTTCCCGCGTCAGCAGCGTTTCCTCTCAGTTCAGTGACGGTCCCCAGCACAGCCCGTCCTCCACCCACAGCTCCACCCCTTCCTGGAGCGAAGAGCCGGCCCAGTCCAACATGGACATCTCTACTGGTCACATGATACTGGTGAGTGAATCAGAGTGGACAGATGTGGGAAGGAGTGGAGTACAAATACTTTGTTACTTTACTTAAAGCTCACCTATTGTGCAAAATCCACTTTTTCATGTCTTTTTTACATAAATATGTGTCCCCTCTGTGTAAAGAGATTCTGAAAGTTTCAGGTTTTCCTGAAACTTTCAGAATCTCTTTACACAGAGGGGACACATATTTATGTAAAAAAGACATGAAAAAGTGGATTTTGCACAATAGGTGAGCTTTAAGTAAAGNCGTGGATGCGTGGGCCACCCGAATAGGTTAAGGGGCCTTTGGCTTTTCTTGCCGGGTTGCGGTGCGGTGCCCCCACAAATAGAATCAAATTCTGTGGGAAACACTGTAGGTCATTGGTTTTTATTCCATCATGAAATTCTGCTCTGTTCTTCTCCTACAGAGAGTAAGCGTGAAGCATATGACAGACATGGAAATGACAGAAGGCCACCCACAGGTAATTAAAACCCAGCTTGAAATATTATTGCATCCACTACATGTTCTTCCTTGTGTTTCATGCAACCTCCATTTCATTCACTATTCTCATGTTGTGGCACCATAACGTTTTCCTCTCTCTACTCTTTCCCCCACTATTTCACTCTCTTTGCTGTTGCTCATCCCTCTGACCCCGACTACTTGATTTTTCAGGTTCCTCCAGCGCAGAGTTTTCTTCAGATTTCCCAGGATTCACCTTCACATTCCGTAAGCCAGATGACGTGTTCAGAGAGTTTTTTGGTGGCCAGGATCCTTTCGCTAACTTCTTTGGTAAGTCTGTCACAATAATCCAATATTCATTTTCATTTATATGAGCATTTTTATCATTTATATTATATGAACAAATATTTGTATTTAAAACAAATAGTTTTGGGGGAACTCAATGCTTCAGTCAAAACAATTAGTGTTACATTTGGTCAGGTACATTTTTACGGTTTTTATTTTTTTATTTTCTAGATGCTGCTAATGACTTTAGCCTTTGTTGACATTTCACATTCCACATTCATCATAGCATATTTATTTATATTGTAAGAATTTGTATATAATACATTATGATTAAATTATTATTGTACATATACGCACACCTTGGTGCAATTGTAGATTATTAGGAGCTAATCTCAATTCAGTTTAAACAGATGAAATGTTATGTGGAAAAAAAGGTATGAATGTATTTTATGTGGATAAATTGTTTTGCAATAACATAAATAATAATATAATAGATAGATGAACCCAGACGATTGCTAACAAACATCAGGTAGGATTTTCTGTGAAATGGCAAGATGGGGGGGAAGGGGGAGGGACGGGGTGGCATGGGAAAGGGATTCCCTATATATATATATTTTTTTTTTCTTTGTCTTTTCTTTTCTTTTTGTATTGTCTATATTGTCTATATAATTGGTATCTGTGTATTTAAGTCCCTTTTTGTGAGGGCAAAAAACAATAAAAAGTTGGTCACAAAAAAAGAATTTGTATATAAAGAGATATCTGTTAACTCTTTAATTGCATTTTTACATTTTTGCTCATTAGTCACATGTCTGTGCAGTAAATGAAACAAGGGTACTTCCTACCCCACACGTTAGAAGATTAAATTGAGTACAGTTTTCAGGTAAAAATAAGTGTCTCTCTCTCTCTCTCTCTCTCTCTCTCTCTCTCTCTCTCTCTCTCTTTCTCTCATCCAGATGACTTCTCATCCTTCGGAGGCACGTCTTCTCGCCTCGGGCCCGGGCGATTCTTTTCCTTCCCTTCAGCAGGAGGTAAACAGCTACATGAAGAAAGTTAAATAGCAAATACAGTATCCATTATTTTAGCAGCAAATAAGACATTATGGCGTATGAAAACATCAAAGAAAATTGAAACAACAAAAATGTGGCACAAAAGTATACTTGGACTCTATGATTAACAAATGTAAGTTTGTGGACAAAAGTCAAAGTCGCTGTGACCTCACAAAACATGTTATTGACCTTTAACCAGGAATTCTTACTCTAGATATCACCATTTCACAACATCTTCTCTCTTCACTTCTCTTCTGCTTTCCCTTCCTGATCACCTGTCCTTCTTCAGTTAATTTTACATCCTTCTCCTCTTCCATGGGTGGTCTGGATGGGATGGACAGCATGGGCGGCGGTATGGGCAACTTCAAGTCAGTTTCTACCTCCACTCGCATCATGAATGGCAAACGCACCACCACCAAGAAGTACGTAACGGCGCCAAAAGAAAAGTTACCCCTCCTGGGAACTATATTATTTTCAAATATTTCTCTATTTCTTTAACGAACAGGGTTTCACGGGCAGGGCTTGTTATTAACTACTGTATGCAATTCATGAATGTGAAACATTGTAGGAAATGATCTTAAATCTGTCAAAAATGCCTCATTTAAATGTTCCTTCACTCTTAGAAGACGTACACACACGCAACTATTTCAAGTATTCTAAGAACTTTTGTTGTTGACTTAAGTGACAGATGGGGTCCAAGAATAGCAAGCCGCATGAATGTGTAGGGTGTGTATGATTTCTTAATGCTCTTAATGTTTTCATATATTGGCTGATGTTTATCGGATTCTCTTTGCTTTTTAATGACTGTTTTTAAATGCGTTTCTGCTGCACTATTTCTTAATGCTCTTAATGTTTTTCATTTTTGTAAAGTACTTTGAATTTCCTTGTGTTGAAAGCTGCTATTTATATATATATAAACTTACCTTGCCTTGCCATTTATTTCTTATTACAGGACGAAGGAGAACGGGCAGGAGAGAACAGAGATCGAGGAGGACGGGGTGTTAAAGACTGTCCTAATTAATGGTAAAAGAACATTCAGTTTGCACTATTCTATCTGTTTTTCTGTTTTATGTCCTATATATATTCATGTTGCACTGTTGGAGGAGCCTGTGACTTAAGATTGTCATTGCCATAGCTACACCGTAGCTAATGTGCACATGAAAGCAATAAAGTCTTGAATCTTGAAACAACGCATACTGAATGGTGTAAAAAAGAAACTGATGTCTAATGTAACCATTTTTATCCCTTCACTTTCTTCTAAATATATTTGTTAAAGGTCACCTATTATGCAAAATCCACTTTTTCCTGTCTTTTATACATAAACATGTGTCCCCTCTGTGTAAAGAGATTCTGAAAGTTTCAGGATAAAATATTCTCTCTCTTTGTTACCTGATCAGGGTAGGAATTTCACGGCCCGTCATTGCCCCTCGATCTGGCCTTTATGCCTCACAAATAATTGTACGTATGGCCACCATGGCCTTTGTGCCCCTCACACTGTTAAAATATCAAATTTGCTTTAAAAGCGTCTGCATTATGCTGCGTTCACAACAGACGCAATGCGAATATTTGCATTGCTCTATGATAATGATAAATGATATGATAATGAGATAATGATGATAATCTCTGGAGTTTCACCGCGGCTGTCAGCTGTGTTTACTCCTGTCATTCAAACAGGAAGCGCTGGAGAGGGGGCGGGGCTTATATCCATGTAAATACTGTGGTAGAAATCAACTACAACAAAATGAACATGTTTTACCGTGATTTAATTCTAATACACGTTTCAAAATGATGCCGAAGTAACTACATACTGATACCGGTTAGTAAAAACCAAGAACTAATGCTTTGACAAGTGTACAGACAAGACGGCAGGCGAAAAAGCTTTTAAAATGCGTGTTTTCTGAATGGAGATCGGATCAATCAGGCTAAACTAACGTTGTATATCCTCCGTCCAAACTCACAACAACGTCCTAAAGATAGAAATAAAGCAGTGACTATATTCACCATGACAAGACAGTCTGTGGTTTGTACTTGTTTAACCTTTGTCCAGTTTCTGAACAGATATGAGGAGCTGTGAGCTCGGTGTCCTAACAGCTAACGGCTGAGGTATTGGTTTTCTGATTCAGTGGCTACGATCCTCACTGCTGATTGGATACCGTGAGAACGCGTCACACGAATTTGACACTCGAGTTGAAAAAATTTATTAAAGAGACTCTCGACAGACTTTTGCATTTCAAAGCATTGCTTGTTCATACAGTTGATTGTTTGAGCTTCACTGTGCACTGCTGAATGACGTACAGTATGTGCAGAGTTTGACCCTTGAAGGCTGTTTCTTCTGCTCTGAAATGGAAAATATTTGTTACATATTAATAGAATTTTAGATTTTTTGATTTGATTTCGGATTTGTGAATGGGAGAAGTAGTAGATGGAAAACATACCAAACACTAATTATTCAAAGTAGATTATTTCATTTTATATATGGTAATACTATGGAGGCATAGGCCTATTATAATGTTTGATATTAAAAAAGTGATTTGTTTTCCGTGTCATTCGTGTGTTTTTCTTATCAGAAAGTGAAGTTATTTATTTGTAAGCCCCAAAACCAATGTTTTCCCTCAATGGCCTTAGTGCCCTAAAAGATGTCGTGATACCAAAGGTCAAATGGCCTTGCCCCTAAAATGACGAAATTCCAAGCCTGGTCCTGATCCATTTATATAAAAACCTGTCTGAGAATGAGCTGATCAGATTTAGGCCACTTTATGATTTTTTGGCTTGTGTAACCATTAGCCAATCACCAACCAAGATAACCCCCCCCACACCTTATCACCTGAATCTCCTCCTAGAGCACCATTGTGTTATTTTTAACCAAATATCTCTCAGAGGGGCGTGGGGAGGGGCTCCTTATTTTCATCTAAAGTAACAGACAGAGAATCAGCACTTTTGAAACAGGGCTGAAACAGAGGGAATTATGGGATGCTACAATGGGTTTGGTATTTGGAGCCAAGCACTTCAGAGACATGCTTTGTATATATCTGAGACCTATAATAAAGTAATAAAAACAGTATAATAGGGGACCTTTAATTAATGCTTTCAGTGACTTTTAATGCTTTCACAAACGAAGTCAAAGAGCAATATCAAGGCTGAACATGCTAATCTGCAAACCTTTGACATTATCTTATCAAAAAGCTTTCAAGTTGAACGTTGGGCTTAAAGAAAGTGTTATATTGAAAGCTGTGCGTATTCGTAACTCATATCAACACCTTCGTTCTTGTGTGTGTTGTCTCCAGGTGTGCAGGATGAAATGGCCCTCACACTGGAGCTGAGCCGACGAGGGGATCTGTCCCGTAAATCTCCTCAGAAGCCCCGAATCCAACACAGATCACCTGCCGAGTGTGAGAGACCCCGCCCCAGCCCTCACTCGGCAGCCCCACACCGCTCATTCAGCTCCGCCCCATTCTACCACTACGGGGTTGCAGCTGGCAGTGAGGATGAAGAAGTAGAAGATGAAGATCTGCAGATGGCTTTGGCATGCAGCTTGTCAGAATTGGATGCCCAGCAGAGAGCAGCTACCGACTTCATATCAGGTGCCGGGGATGGGAGCAAAGCCATGAAGTACAAAATTAAGACTACACAATGTAATGTGGCTGATGGTGAAGGGGAGGGAGGGGACAGGGGGGAGGTTAAAAAGGGCTCAGGGCCTGGTGCTGGGTGGGAAACGGAGGGAAAGGGAACAAGCGAACCAGACTTCTCTCCTGAGTCCTCCACTACTGCCACCACCTCGCCTCTGAGCCAGAGCAGTGAAGAAGAGTTTGCACCTGCCGTGAAAAATAAAAAAAATAGTGACGGCAGCGTGAAAAATAAAAAGAAGTGCGGGTGTATTATGTGTTAATACAGTGCATGTGTGTGTGTGTGTGTGTGTGTGTGTATTTGGGATGCCTTATTTTGTATACTTACCTCTATGTTTCTGCTTTCAGCCAGACTCTAATTTAATGTGATTGCCAGACTCAGACAGTGCCTCAACTTATCACAATGCTTTCATGCAGATTTAACACTAAGAGTGACAGCTAGTCGACTTTGACATGGTGCCAACCCAGACATTTCCATATAATTGTTCAGTACAGATAAAAGATCAAATGTAAAGCAATGCAGATGATTTGTGAATGTATGTAAATATGCCAAATATTTACACAGACTGAAAAGATTGTGAGGATCGAGAGGGATTTAGCTGTGGCCAAGTTTGTGGTGATGTGTGTGTGTGTGTGTGTGTGTGTGTGTGTGTGTGTGTGTGTGTGTGTGTGTGTGTGTGTGTGTGTGTGTGTGTGTGTGTGTGTGTGTGTGTGTGTGTGTGTGTGTGTGTGTGTGTGTGTGTGGATGCGTGTGATCAATGGATGCAAATCTATAATGCCCCTTTCACACCAACGCGGTTCCAGGGCCGGAGCTAGAGTCGGATAAGCACCGTTTTTTCCTGTTCACACCGCAGCGGAGCCGGCTCTAACAAGATGCAGAACTTTAATAACTTTTAAAAACTTGTTTTATTGAAAAAATGGTTTATTGATCAGCTGATACTGATTTTTAGAATATATATATATATATATATATAGAGGCAAAAACAAAAATGAAGGACACTTTGCAAAAACACATTGCTTGTTTGCAAACACACCGGCTTCCCAGTCAGAATTGCTCAAACCGGTGGCCAAAGTATCATTTAATGAAGTACATAGTACAAGCCTTAATACACTGAAATATCATGACCATATTTGGTCAGATTGTAGATTAGGGAAACCCTTTATGAGATTGAAAGGCAAAGCACAGTGTGCAATAAATACAGCATTAAGACTGATTGTAAATGATAGTCTCAATCTTTAATATTGTGATCCTTTAATGCCTTTGCATGATTTGACTACTTTAGACTTTATACAAATGTTTCCTACATTAACACCTAAAATGTGCCAAGTTAGAAAAGCACAGGTAAAGAAAAAGCTATACTTTATTAGTGAACAGGAATGTTGTCAGGTGAGGAGGTGGGAGGGAGTGTCGTTAAGTTCAACTGCACTATGAATGCTTTAAAATGATGTCGCCAATCAACAAATCAAAGTGACGAAAAACAACCTGCTGACTATGACTGCTGCTGTAGACCTGTGTGTTGTGTGGAGCGACTCTAAGAAAGGAAAACATTACTCTAAATGTAATTAATACGTTAACACTTTTTTACTGCTGTTCAAGGACAAACCTGTCTCACTAAGTACCTTATCACAGGTCCTGTTTCTGGCACAGCTGATATACATAGAGCACAATAAGTGTAGTATTTAGATGTCGCTAATTTTCACGAGTGCTTTCTTTATTTTGTTGTGCATGAGTTTTGCTTCGCTTTAAAGAATAACGTTCATCACTTGCAAACATTAAGCATGGCTGATACTGTTGATGCCTAAGGGAATGAGAAAGAGGCAACTCCCTGTATTATTTGTATTTCCTTGAACTGCCATGTATTTTGTTATTTTTATTTTTGCAGATTGTTAAAAAGGAAATAGCAAATAAAAAGTGACTCAAAGAGGATATTTGATATATTTGATTTTTTTAAGAACATGGCAGTAATTGTTCTGCCTTTATTTGTCACATATTTCACACCACACCACTAGTGTACCACCATTACTACTTCAACTAACGACCACACATGAAATCACTGCAGTGCCGCTTTCCCTTTCATTTATATGGTATTTCTGGATCCCAAAAAAACTGATGTTGATAAGCCATTTTTAAAACAAATGAAAAGCGCACATAACATCATTTAATCTAAAAGAAGTACTTGATCAGTATGCTCACTTTTGATTTCACTCAGTTTGTTGTTGAACCAATGTCTTACTATTAACTTAACTCATTATTACACTCCTTTATTTATCATTACAAGTCTGCCTGTTTCTCATCTGCTCATATCGTCTCACCTTATGTTGTGCAATAGATCTACTCTCAGTGCAAACTAAGTACATTTTTCATTGAAAATATTATTTTGATAAAGGAAAGGAAATTGAGGAATAATAACTCAAAATAGTGTTTTCAGTTGTTTACAGAAACACTAAAACCTGTCAAAACAAGATGTTCAGCTAGCCAGCACCAATCAGCACACATTTCAAATAATGTTATCTGATATTTTGTTCCGCACATACTATTGTTGGCTGATCTGTTCCGCTTCCATTTTCATTATGCTGCTTCGCTAATGATGTGCTGGTATCACCTTTTAGTGCCGTTTGCAGTATACATAGAACATAATATTTTTTAAATCAATACGTGACAAACATCTTATTACGATAGAATTAAGGAGTTAAAGAGTTCAGTGGGAATTTGTTGTCTTACACATCCTGCTCCCTGTTTCAGACTCAGACTTCGAGGCCTTCACAAGCTAACCTGATTGGCTCGTGCTGCCCTGAGGTAAAGACCAGTGTGAACCTGAAGCCCCCTGAATGTTGCCCAATAAGCCCTTTGTAGATGGAGTCCAATCATTGTTAGAAATAATATTTATAAAAGGTAATCATATTTGCATTACTGATGAAGTGTAACATTTCCTTGTTCATTTATTCTTACAGGTCAAAGGTCAATTCCCCAAGATGCACTTGTCTCTCTCTGCCCATCATGGCCACTACCTGCTGAATGAGACTTAAATGATTCAAATGCGTGTTTTTATATGTGAGTGTGAGTGTGTGTACATAGCTCATTGTGGAGCAAGAGACTGGAACGTTTGTGTTTTGAAACCCAAGGAAATAGTTGTAATCTTCTCTGCTTTAACTGCTGTGTCAGCAGAATGATATGCTGAATTATGCCTGCAAGTGGAAACTGATAAATGAAACTAATAGAACAATGTTTTAGAAGGAGAGAAAATAAAGCATTTCTTGCTGACTATTCTGCATCAGACCATAATAGTTTGTAGACTTATACATAATCAATATATATAGAATAATATAAGTGTTGTCAGGGTTAAAGAATTGCAGTTAAATTGCCAAACGTTCTCTTTAAGTTAAAAAAGGTCTACTTGTCATTATTGTAATGCACTTGTTTTTGGCTGTCCCACCCTTTATGCTGCAGGGGGCGCTGTGTACAGCTCTAGAATTGCAGCTGTTGATGCATTTAGGATACATTTTGAATAATACATGGATTTCTAATCAATAGATTAAAATGCATGATACTTTTAATGCAATGTTATCGTTTTTTTGTATGAAACAAAAACACAACCACTTAAAAACAGTGGTTGTCAAAGTGAGCAAAGAAAGCCTTTCCCTTTGAGTTTAGTTTTTTGCTGCGTCACATCACACATTTATTCAAGTCAAAAATACATTTTTTATAGATATTTTCTGTCCGTCTGCTACATGAATAAACACAATCATCAGGATGAATTATTTACATGAATCACAAGGTCGAACACAGAGCAAGACGATGAAGAACCCAGAGTTACTTTGGTGGACTTGGAAGGTACATCATCGAAGGAGACCAGAGCTTATAGCAAACAATCATGTTGCCATGGCAAAGACAAGCTTCAAAAATAAAAAACCTGCTTGGAATCAACACACAGTAGCACACAGTATTCTGGTGGACACGTAACAACACACTTAGAGATTTAAAAACCATTGAAACCTTTGAGCCGGATGGATACTTTGTAAAGGGATTCAACATTATTTTAACAATATTCCAAGGAAATTGTAATGTTCAACACAATGGCAAAACAAACCATTAGTGATGGTTGGAAATCATCTGTTAATGTTGATAGATCATTTGAGGTAATCATGTCTAGTAAGACGGTGGATTAGGCCGAGATGGAGTCAGATCGGTAAACAGTGTCACACATATATTATGTTTTTGAAACCATCAACAGAAGTGTTTTCTATCCTGTCAGCGCACACTATATTAGCACGTTTTTTTATTCCTCGTCATTGTCATTGGCTGGCTTAATTGGTGTCTTATTATGTAGAATCTCCAGAGAGCAAAGATCATGATTAACATTTAATCTCTTGGCCATATTTTACATCTTGCAAGAAATAATTTATGAAGTTCCAGAAAGTTTTAAAAACCCAGCAAATGAGTTGATGGTCAAATACTGCATGCTGAAGACATGAGCTGTAAGAGCTCCAGGTGTGGTGGAGCAAATTCTAATATACAGTGATGGCCAGACAAACATGGCTGGGTCGTACGAGTGTGTCCTTATGAGTATTTATTTTTGTGTCCATGGATGTCCTCACTGTGGCAGGGCTTTCAAGATGGCATTCACCTCCTCTGCTACTGCTGTCAGCGCAAACTCAAACTGGTCCTGATCAGAATGAGAGATTTGGAAAATAAGTTGAATTGTGGACATCTACCATATAAGTGCTAAAAGAGGGACAACACACACAGATATGGTACCTTGGTGCGGACTAATCCAGGTCTCTGGTCTCTGATGTGCTCCAGTGCGGCTGCGATGTCAATCTCCTTCACTCCTAACAACAAAGACAGGAAGGGTCAAAACATTAGTACCACAGTTCTGAGGGTTACTCACTGTTTTGTAACATAGATGCCAACACTCTTCAATAGAAAAGGAACCCTATTATGCATCATGGTGTTATTCTGAAACACTCAAATAAACCTTTAGTGTGGCGAAGATAACAGAAATGATTTGGTTATGCATTCATGAACCAAACAAAATTAAACAAAAAAGGGGTTTTCTCTAGCTAACAAGGCATGTTTATGAAACAATATAAAAAAACATACATGCATCCATATCATAGTGTGGAACATCACATTTTAAATGCATTGTGTTTATAACGACCTCATCAGTGTATATACTGAGCTGCTGTGAGCAAAACCTGACATAATTTCACCCTTAAACCCAAGGGTACTAAACTAACCTTGGCGTATGTGCAAATGTGTGTGTGTGTGTGTGTGTGTGTGTGTGTGTGTGTGTGTGTGTGTGTGTGTGTGCAGTGTGTGTGTGTGTGTGTGTGTGTGTGTGTGTGTGTGTGTATGTGTGAGCGACTCACCCTTGGCCATGCGGTTCAGCACCATGTCAATGAGGATGTACGCGCCAGTGCGGCTAGTGCCATCGCTGTGAGAGTGACAGAGAGAAAAAAGGAAATGCACTGCGTTGTAATTCCCCATAATGTTTTAACTCAATCTGCTTTCTGCTCCAAACACACAATTTCCTAATTAGTAATATTTATGATTCTGCAAATCCGGGTCTTTCACAGAAACCTGACAGTCATCAGATGTATTCTTTTACCCGCAGTGAACGATGATTGGGCAGGAACGACCTCTGTAGCATTTATTCACCTTCCTGAAAAACAGGAACAAGGGACAACAGAGACGGAAAAGAGAACATATAAAGGGCATTAATATCAATTATTCATAGTCAACTTTTTAATCGCAAATAAACATGTTCACATATGCAATGAATATACATAAATGCCTTGTCAGTCATCACAACATGCAGCTGTTAATGTCTCTTTTGCAGATTCAGACATTGTTGGTTCTGAGAGGTAAACAGAATGTGATCAAGTAGTAAGAATAAAGCATGAGAGGTAACTGACAGACAAAAACAGTCAAATCAAGAATGAAGAAAATGATGTCAGGACAGGAATACATATAAAATGGCATGAGGTGGTGGACGACAGAGAGTGGCATGGTAAAACAGGAAGGAATAGGTGAAGAGGAAGCCACAGATTCACTGTCCCTCTTGCAGTAGCCAGTCACACCTGCCAATGCTCATTTTTGTGACTATGCAACTGGAGCCAGAGTACTAGCTGCAAACCACAAAAATGACACTGGTAGGTGTTAAAATACAAACCTATCAACCTGTACACTGGGAGAGAGGGAGAGAGAGAGAGCTGATGTGATGCATAGGATATGAAACACACCATGCAGATAAAACAAGAAGAATGTGATGAGGAAGAGCCAAACTCGCTGGTGTGTTAGGGTACCAGTAAGACAATGCATTATTATTCCACACACTGCATCCTTGCCACCTGTTGGCTCCACTTCCTGTTTAATTATTGAGCAGGTTTGACTCTTGAGGCACTTCAAGGGCACATGTGGGATAGTTGATGTAATTTATTACCGACGGAAGTCTAACAGTGGTCTTGTGGAGATGGGGATGCCGTCAGCGGGCCAGCTCAGCAGGTGAAACTGTGTCAAGGTTCTGGTCTCCTGCGTCTGGACGTTCTTCAGGTAGAAGCTACGCACCAGGAAGTCCTTACACCAGATGTGCTCAGACACCAAGTTCACCTGATGAATACAAAGGTATAAGGGGGAAGAGAGACAGAAAGGAAGGACAGACGCAGAGGAGAAATGGAATTTAATTTAAGAGGGTAAAGATAACGGATGATAAATTTAAACCAAAGTCGACACCAGGAAAACATGCATGTGTTAAAGAGAAAAGGCCTGTTCAATTCAAGATGGAGAAATTGCCAAATTCAATTTTTTTACTGAAGTCGAAATTATCACATTCAAATGTGTAGTTTATTTCATACATGTGACTTATTTCATCTTTAATAGATATTATTTACAGTTATCATTAGCCTCTTAACATATACGTTAGATACAACTACTATGACAACAGGTCTAATGCAGGGATTATTCCTGCTACACTGAATGCTTATTACCAGAAGAGCATTATTTATAGTGAACATAGTGAGTTGCAACAGGAAATGAACCTCGTAGATGTGGTAGAGTGATGAGCCCTCATCAGGCCAGTACCGCTCGCACTGTTTCTCTCCGTCTTCAACCAGAGCCGTCATCATCACTATCACTGTGCAGCCGTTCTCCCACACCATCTGCCGGTTGGAGAGACCACACACACACACACACACACACACACACACACACACACACACACACACACACACACACACACACACACACACACACACACACACACACACACACAAAAAGGGATGTAAACACACTGTGAGTACAATGCACATGGTCCAATGGCCTACATTATTTCATTTTGTCAGTGAGCAGCAAGTACATCCTCTAAACTTGGGAGTAAGACAGGAAAATAACTTGGGAAGGATTCAAACCGACCTGCCAGAAATCAGCGACAGTGTGAGCCATTGGTCCCTGTGTGGCGATGTAAGATGGCTGGCGAGGGTCATGGTCAAACTATGGGTTAAAGAAAAAAAGGAAGAGAGAAGAGATTTGAAAGGTTTTTCTTTCTGAGGATTCTAAAGCTTTAAAATGTTTCCTTGGCTTCTTGAGCAGGGATTGGATTTGACAGATTACACTTGAATTAGGTTTTAGTGTCCGATGCTGATAGAGGGACAGGCTTTGGCATTGCAGGTTGAAAAACAGAATCAAACTGTACGACACATCCAAAAAGCTACGTTCTGTTGTAACAAAGACTTCCTTTTATGCTAAATTCAATTCAATGAACAACAGTGTTTAGTATAACTTCAGTTCCAATATAAACATAGGTCGAGTACATTAGAAATGATAATCAAAGACTATGTATTAAGTTTTAACTATGACATCGTTTATTGGGGTTACAAACCACAAATGATAAATATCAGCAGATACTGTAAATGCTTTAGATTGTTTCAGGGCTTCTTACAATGAGGCTGGCGTTGATGAAGTCTTGTTTATTGGAGTTTACTTCCGTCTTCAACTTCACCCGAGTGTGATCATCTGTAAAAGAAGACATGTCAAGAATGAGTCACTGAATGAGTCACTGAGCAGGGTGATCTATGATTGATCTAGCAGCAGCATCACAGAGAAAGACAGGAAATAAAAAGAGTGACACATTGATGAACTCACAGGGGACGGATTCAGCGTGTCTGTTTTTGTCCATGTTGCTCGGAGCTTGAGCCACAGCCACTGAACAGGGGTCGGCCTGGTATGAGCACAAAGCCTCCCACTCCCTCTGGAGACGGTCCTTATTACGCAGGTGATCCTCCATATAAGCCTGCCGGAGAGATGAAAGGGGAATGATGTGTAGGAGGTTTTGAACGGCAGAGGAAGAAGAGGATTCTTTTGCTGCAGGAAGAACATTTCCACTTTCAGAGATGGAAAAAGTACACACATCCTTTACTCAAGTAGAAGTACAAATACGTGTTTAAAAAAATACTCTGGTACTGACTAAAATTCTTTACTCAAGTCAAAGTAAAGAACTATGGGCTTCGAAATATACTTAAGTAAAAAGTACCCATAACTACCAGCTGTTTTATAGAGTAACTGACCTCCCTTTATATTAAAAGAACAATAATGTCATTGTTAGCTAATGAATGTTTCCATGCCGAACAACGGCAAAATGACAAAGTTCTCATTGGTCCCTCTTCTTTAGAGAAGACCAGGAAATGATGGATACACGGATCATGTTCAAATCAATTGGCACGCAATGACTCTGAATAATAATGATCACGCCACCAATCGCAGATTAAAACTAAAGTAACAAGCCTGTTCTGAAAATGTAAGAAGTAGAAAGTACAGGTATTTGTGTTCAAAATGTAAGAAGTAAAAGTAAAAAGTAAAAAGTAGTTGAGTAAAGTACTGATACCGGAAAAATTTACTTAAAGGTCCCCTATTATACTCTTTTTCATCAATATATAATAGTTCTCAGATATATACAAAACATGTCTCTGAAGTGTTTGGCTCAAAATACCAAACAGATCATTGTAGCATCCCATAATCCCCTCTGTTTCAGCCCTGTTTCAAAAGTGCTGATTCTGTGTCTGTTACTTTAGATGAAAATAAGGAGCCACTCCCCACGCCCCTCTGAGAGATATTTGGTTAAAAGAACACAATGGTGCTGTAGGAGGAGATTCAGGTGATAAGGTTGGGTGGGGGGGTGGTTACCTTGGTTGGTGATTGGCTAATGGTTTCACAAGCCAAAAAAAAAAAAAAAAAACCCCATTTTTTTTTAGTTTTGGGGGGGGGGGAAAAACCCCCCATCCATTAAAAAAAAGGGTGGGGGGGGCCAAAATCTGATCAGCTCATTTTCAGGCAGTTTTTTTTTTATATAAATGATCAGGAAAAAAAGAGGTGATGTTTTTTTTTCCCTGAATGTGACGTGTTCGCGATGTGTTTACGGACAGAGGACACGCGTATGTATGTATAGAAAGACGATGGAAGAAGTGTGAGCTTTGCATAGATAGGTGGACCGTTTAAGAAGTGGAACCCCCCGCCGTGTCGGGAAAGTGTTGTGTGCGAAGTGTGTGTGTGGGATTGTGAGTCATTTTTTTGGGTGTGTCCGCGTGAGGAGGAGAGTGCAACGACGATGTACGAGGTATGGTGCCGTTGTGGGTGTGGGTGAGATCGGTACTACAATGTGGGAGGTTGGTTTTTTTACTATCACTATACTTTTAACGTGCTTTTGCAATAGCACAAATTCCCACCTCAGCTTGATAAAAAAGCATTCTACCCAAGCATTGATGCTGCTTCCAATTAGCAGGATTAATGCAGTTAAAGCTGGCTATAGGGGTGCCTGCCTCCATCTTGGCCCGCAGGAGACATCAAAGCGTACTCTCGCTGCCCCGCCCTGCACTGTTTCCGCCTGAGGATAGAGATAGGTTACGAGAGTGGAGACTGCCTCTGGTGTGCAAACAACTCTCTGTGGGAGTGCGGATGAGTTTGATTACACCTGGCCGACTGCGCGTTGGTGGCGTGTGGTGAGCGTGCGTGAGAGCGCGAGAGCGAGGGCGAGAGGGAGTGAGAGTGCTCCAGCCCACGCTTGTAGCCAGCTACATCAGGTCACTGTGGCTTGTGTAGAGGGTGTTTGAAGAGCGTGTGCGTGTGTGTGTGTGTTCGTGTGTGTGTGTTTGTCCACTGTGCGAGTGTGTGAGTGTGTGCGCGTCTTTACAGCCGGTGTGTGAGCGGGTGTGCGGAGTGCGCAATCTCAGGCTTGTTTTCTGAAAGTGAGGTGCTATTGCATTTCTGTCATACGAGCGAGAGAGAGCGAGAAAGAGCGTGCGGAGTGCGAGTCAAAACAAGGCGTGACTTTATCTTGTGTGTTTAAATGGCTGCCTAGGATTATAGGTGAGCGCGACGCACAAGTATGATTTAGATCAAATAAGCCCCCTGTGTTACCCTGAATACCTGAGAAAAGTTGTTAGCTTGCTTGTCTGCAGCGTGTAACGAAGAATTAAAAGACCAGAGAGGATGAATTTTTTTAAAACGGAGATACTGCTTAAAACCCCCAAAACAGCAAATCGTATACAAAAACTATAATTTCTAAAAATGTTCTCTTAAACCGTTACATGATGAAGACTTTGGATGGTAGCGATGCATACAACAAGCGCAAGACTGCAAAACATTTGTTGTTTGGTATTTTTGTGGAATATGCTGAAATTACGGTGAGCATACGCGGTGGATGGGAAACAAATTGGATTTTTACTACACAGGTTGTGTTTGGAGTTCATGAAGCTGAGTTATTTTAGATATGTTTATTTGCTTTGTTAGAGTGGCCCCCATTTACCTCGGTTTCGTGTAAGACTGTCCCTTGTCTTTATTCTTAGTTTGATCATGAAGGCCAGCAACAAAGACTACATTTTCTTCAAGAACTTAAGGTGCATTGAAGATAAAANGCCAGAGGGAAGTGGATACGAGGGTAGGGCACCAAGTTGGTCTGGAACTCTGTCAGGTCGACATTCAGAGCTCCATCAAAGCGAAGCGAGGCTGTGATTGAAGACACAATCTGGCTGATGAGCCTGTTCAGGTTGGTGTAAGACGGGCGTTCAATATCTAGGTTTCTGCGGCAGATGTCATAGATGGCCTCATTGTCCACCATAAAAGCACAGTCGGAGTGCTCCAGGGTGGTGTGGGTAGTCAGGATGGAGTTGTAAGGCTCAACCACAGCTGTGGAGACATGCGGGGCCGGGTAGACGGCAAACTCAAGCTTAGACTTTTTACCATAATCAACAGAGAGTCTCTCCATGAGCAGGGAGGTAAAACCAGAGCCAGTGCCTCCACCAAAGGAGTGAAATACCAGAAATCCCTGCAGGCCAGTGCACTGATCAGCCTGTAAAAGTAGGAATGCATCAAGAAATTCATAAATCACTTAGCAAAAAAACAAGTTTAATATATCAGAAAAGTAACACCACATTCCCTCACCATTTTACGAGTCCTGTCAAGAACCATATCAATGATCTCCTTGCCGATGCTGTAATGTCCTCGGGCATAGTTGTTGGCAGCATCTTCCTTTCCTGTAATCAGCTGCTCAGGGTGGAACAGCTGACGGTAGGTTCCTGTACGCACCTCATCTGGAGATACAAATGATAGCCAAACAAATGACTGAATACACAACTAAGAGCTCGACAGTAAAATATTCCTACAAAAGCAAGACAAAATATTTTATCTGGTAATAAAGAGATGATTATCATTGGTATAAATGTAGACTTTTTAAAAATGAATATCAACACAGTTGCATCATATGCTTAAAAACGTTGGTACATCAATAGTAAAACTACATACATACATGGAAACATCCAATCTGTTTAATATCATTAGCTTTATAACCAGCACTTACCGATGACAGTGGGTTCCAAGTCGACAAAGATGGCTCTGGGAACATGCTTTCCTGCCCCTGTCTCACTGAAGAAGGTGTTGAAGCAGACGTCTCCTCTTCCAGTGGTCCTGCCACTGGACATCTGTCCGTCAGGCTGCAGCCCATGCTCCAGACAGTACAGCTCCCAGCAGGCATTGCCAATCTGAGCTCCAGCTTGGCCCACATGAATAGAGATACATTCACGCTGCAGAGAAAATGCAACATTGTTTATTTTTTACATCTGTTAACTTTCTACATTTCTGCAACATATATTCAACTGCCTGAGTCCAAGTATCAAATTATATAATTTACACCACTCTGTCTGTCATGGACTGATCCAAATTAAAAGCATTTTCTTATCACTCACTCATAAAATTATTGCAAAAATGCAGAAAATGTAACAATTGTTAATAGATACAAAAACATGCACTAGCAGAAAGTTTGAAAGTTAATCACATCTTACCATAGTTTCTGATTCTTCTCCAAAGTCCAGGTATCGGTAAGAAGATGTGGAAAGAGCGTTTATTCTCTGCCCTTTTATACTTTTAGCTTAAGGTGAACAGTGATTTGATCTCTGCTGTAATGGGAGAACCCAGTGATGAGACCAGGATAAGATCATCAGCTTGACAAACAAACACACAAAGCAAAAGGAGGTCACCACCCTACTCATTGTGTGCGTTTGTGAGTACTGGTGTGTACCTTTTATTTCAGAAAACAGAAGCAAACCCCATACAAGGGGAAAGGTGACCTGGTGTAGTTTCACTTGGTAGTTTCTCATATATGACTCAATGAAGTAGCTTATCACAGGATAAAAAACATTCCTATTGCAATGAGGTTGGTTTTTAGTAAAAAAAAAAGAAAAAGATGTTTGTGTGGATTCTCAAAATAAAAGCATGCAGAAAATACAAGTTAAGACTTTATGGTAAAATGTATTTTTAATACCTCTTAAATGTAAAGTTTGATTATCATTCGACATATCAGTTCCTACAACCTTTTCCTAAGTTGAAATTAACTGATAGTATTTATTAAGCAGTACATTAACATTAGACCTCCTCCTCCTTCCCTAATTTGTGTAACCCCTTGGGAGAGTAACTGAATACAAGTGAACCAGCTTGTAAGGCGTCAGCTGACTAAGTAGAGTAAAACACATCTGCCTGCCAGATTGGTTAGACTATAATGCAACATAAAATTCAACCACATAAAGAGTGTATCAATAAGATGAAAAAGGCACAACATCATGGTTATTTTAACATTTTTCACTCACTAGATTCATACCCATTAGGTTGTATAGTTCACTTGTTCAGAATTCTACCGTGAGTTTCAGTTGGCAGGAGGCAACCTAATTTATTATACAATGGTATGGCTCAAAGGCAGAACGCTCTGTTATGTTTGAAACAAGTCCAACCACTTCGAAACGAACAGGCATCAGCACTAATATGGGAACTTTGAATTAGTATGCTACTGTTTTAAGATTCAACACTTTGTCATTCTATGGCTGCTTTGTTCAACAAAGTTAAATGGACTTCATCCTTGCTCATCTTTCACTGCATGCAGAGTTATTTTCACTAAAGAAAAGGTTTGATACCACTCAAAAGTGAAAAGTAAAAATTAACAAACTGACTGATTTTATGCTAAGTATTACACCACAGCGTCAACCAAAGCCGCTGTCAGATTAGTTAGATTAGTAACATAAAACTTACAAAGCACATCAAAAGTCAAAGTAAACTTTATTGTCAATCTTTCAGTTTGTGTGTACAGACAGAGAGATCGAATACCGTTTCACATGTGGTGCAAATGACAATTATATGTCAAATTAAAAGAGTTTGGTTCCACACAAGTGTCCAGGACAAACTCCTGCAGTGTTTTAGGTCTGGTTTATTTTGTGTCAGCTGAAGTATTGTTGAATATCACCACTAAATAACACACGTTGGCTCTCCTTAGGTGTTGCCCGAATCAAATAGCTTTGTCCCACTTCCATTGTTTGAGGGTATAAATCCCAAACAACGCCTCACAATAAAGTATCTTTACTAATTGTATCCTAATATTAATAGTGCTGGCAAGAAGGAAGAAGGCCCACAGTAGATCAACATTAAAATGAAGACTTAATTTGCATATTTTGAGATCAGGATAAATGATTATGTTGAACAAACTGTTTCAATATTTGCTTTGAGTGAGACACATATGAGAATCTTACAATCCCAATTCACACAGAAAGCATTTGAATGTAAACATGAGGTAAGTATAAAAACACTTTGCAGGTTCTTCTGTTGTGGTGAAAAAATATAACTTCAAGATCTCACATGAACTGCCTGATCAGTTTTTCGACTTCATTGACTCCCGGTGAAGCAACTACGACCTCTAGCTTTCACATGGTGACAGTGACAGCAGTACAATGGCAGTCTGAAGGGTTGCTGTAGCAGCAGATCTGTTGGCAGGATGATTGTACCACCCACAAGATAAGCGACTGAGGGCGTGACCCTTAAGTACACACGTTTCCAGACGAGCAAGTTGAATTAGATGGAAAAGGCGGGAAAGGAATTCCTGAACACCAAAAGGGAAACAATAAACATTTGATTAAGTAATGTTTTTGCAAATAAAAGGGAATGAAATACTGGCATAAGCATTAAATGCAAAAAATAAATGTGGTGTTCCCTACAATTTAGATTATTTTAAAAAAAAATAGGCAAAATAGACTTTAAAGGGGACCTATAATGCAAAATGCACTTTTTGATGTCTTTTATACATAAATATGTGTCCCCAGTGTGCCAGGCAACTCACTAAGGCCCAATCCCAAACCACCCCCTACACCCTTGGGAGGGTCCGCCACATTAAGCGCTGTTCCAAACCAACAAGTGTTGAGCGGTGTGGAGGGGGAGTGTGTTATCAAGCCCTCAAACAGCGAGTCTGCATCGGTGCTGACTGCAGACTGGTCTCTACCTGACCGGTCTCAACGCTGTGTGTGTCCTTCAGGAAACGTTCCAGCAAACACCCACTGATAAACTGTGATGTTAACAACCTCATGATAACCTCATGTTTTTTTTACTTAGGATCATACCTGTGTTTAGTCTAGAAAAAGGTAAATGTGTGCATTTTATTATAAAGTTGTGTATATTTAGAGACTGTTGCAAAAATTAAGAAAATTATAAACATCAGGTTCAAAACGAAAAGAGCTTTACAAAAAAGAAAAACAATTAAAGATGTTTGGAGTTTTATTTTAGTTGTGAATTTTAATTTTTGGTCTAAGAGATGTTGATTTGAAACCGTTGTTACATACAGCTACGGCATTTCCTGTTTCTGCCAGAGAGAGGGGAGTTTGTCCCAAAGCTTGCCGCTGTATTTAATACCTCCATCCAACAGGAGGGAGCCTCGTTGAGCTGCGAGTGTCACTCGGAGTTCATTCCTTCACGGAAGGGGAGTGTGCAGGGGTAGGGTGTAGGCTGTAGGGCGTGGTTTGGGATTGGGCCAAAGTGTCAGAAAACAAAACCCTCTCTCTTTCCCTCCATACCCAAATCTCTAAAAACGTGGGTACAACGGAGCTGATCCAGATTTGCGTCCGATATGACGTAATATCGGAAATGTGGACCCACAGAACTATCAGAAACGTTGCTATCAGAAACAATGCCCGATGTGTTTTGGATTTAATATGGTCTTTGTTTACATTAGCAAGCATCGCTGACACTCAGAGCTAACCTGTAATGGAGAGAGTAGGCCAGGGGTACTCAAACGTTTTTGTTAAAGGTCCACTTGTGAATCTTATACAAGGTCAACGGTCCGGATCAATGCCAGTGGAATTTTTTCTTTCAGCAAAAGCCATTACACAAACACATAATCCCCAAGAGAAGAACGAAAAATATATACAACACAATAAACAAGAAGAAAAGTAATACTTAAATAAATAAAATACAAAAATATACAGATGCTGTCACCATAATTCAAAAGAGAAAACTCAAAACAACATAAATTATAAAAAATTATGTAAATGGCAATTTACAAAAGGTTTCAACATTAGGTTACAAAGCTGCTAGACAAGAAGCTACATCACATCCAATCAGATCTAGCATATAGGCTACATCGCCAAAGTCATATCTAGTTCCTTTCTAAAACTGTACTAATTTCCGCCTCTTAAGCCAGACAATGAGAGATATTTAACATATTATTAGCCTGGTAACGGATCGCTGAAACACCGCTGTCATCAGACTGGCAGGGGCTATTCCATGCTCTGCTCAACCTCCCACCGTCCAAATAGACTCAGTAGCGCCCCCTGCTGCCGTGGAGCATGTGTGAGCGTGTATCATGGATGTATAATAAGAACTGGATACAGCGTGGGAGGCGGGGCCTCATTTACCTCATTCACACCAACGGTGTTTCAGGGCCGGTGTCTACCATATGTGCTCGGCCTACCAGATCAGAGGCCTGTACTACGAAGCAGGATTTTCGCTTAGCCGGCTAACTTCAGGGAAAACTCGGGGTTTCCGGTCCTACGAAGCAGTTAGCCGGCTAAGCGAAAATCCTGCTTCGTAGTACAGGCCTCTGATCTGGTAGGCCGAGCACANTTTTGAGCACTTTTTTTCCTTTTGCCGTACTCAGAGCATGGCGCGGAACGCCGTGCGTATCTTTGGGTGCACCTCCCCCACCACGTATCCAGTCTCTCCCATTAGGTGGAGAATGCTGAAGTTTATGAAAGGCTTCGGTATGTCAGTTGTCGAATAATACCTTCAGCTGTGGTCCCCGCGGAGTGCTGTGCAGCGAGCCAAGAGGAGAGAAAATGACCTTGACTCACTCCCTTGACTGGTGTTGCTTTTGTGTATCTCATTACCCAGACAGTGGCCTGCATGCCACTCTGGGTCGCCATATGAGGTTACGCCTCTGCTGATCCAAAGAGGCTGTTGAAAACGCTTGTACCATGCGATTTAAAACACTTGCCTTGGACACTTCATTTGAAGCCTTTCTTGTTTTGTTACGTCAGAGTGTCTACATTGGTTCGATGTTACTCTGGTGTGTACGTGAATTAGGTCTGATTACACTGAACAATGTAAATTGGTCGTCATCCCCATCATCTTGCCTAAGTCATCTCAACTTTGCCCACCGCCCTTCAGTTTGCCAACCATCGAAAGCAGTATATCTCCTTAACATGTGCTCCATTCAGCATAAGAAATGAGCTTTATGTATTTTATTTACAATATTGCCTTATGAGTTATTTCTTTTATTATACAACATTGAAAAATCATGATTGCTAAGTGTGTTGATCAAAATACTGTATGTGCTGCATGCCATGCATAACATAAGCATTTATCCACTATCCTTAGCCCCGCCACGAGTTCCTGTTTGTAATTGTCAATTACCGTTATTACTTTTCATTTCTTATGCAGGAGATATAATCAGCTCTTGCAGCGCTTATTGGTACACCTCTTCCCCAACAATAACAACTTGGATTAATCAGCTCATACGACAATCCCCCTTACACTTGAGACATCGAGTGTA